ATATATATATATATATATATATATTAGATTTGATTTTTATTTATCAATTAAATTTTAATAATTTTATTTTACAATATAAAATATTTATCATAAATCTAAAATATAATTAATATGATTAAAAATATTGATTTATACAAATATTAAATATAACTTATGTATTCAAACATAGAATTTATTTGTATGTATAATTTATTATAAATTTTAGTTATATATAATAAATATTTAACATGTAAATTACACATACTAAAATACTAATTTTATATATTTAAATATACTTTTTCCCATTCTTTAGAGAATGGATTTGCGTGAAACTCTCTCTCCGCAACACACCAACGGTGATCTACCTCTGAAGCCTCCTGATGGGATTAGGATTGGCGAGACGTCTTTTCGAGACAAAGTTATTGGAAAACAGACGAAGCTGAAGGCGATCAAAGACTTGCTCAAGGAGGGCGATATGCAGGTAGAGTGGGATAATGGGAATCGACTCCTTCCCAAATTCAAGATCAACGATTCTATGTTTGATAGGCTATGCCAGCCATGGAAAAAGTGCCTTGTTGTGAAATTATTTGGGAAGAAACTGGGATTTTTTACGTTACAGGAGAAGATTAAGCAGTTATGGAAACTCACAGGAGGATTCAAATTGATGGACGTGGATCACTGATATTTTATGGCTAGCTTTGACCTCGATGATGACAGGGAAAAAGTCATTAATGGCGGACCGTGGATGATCTTCGATCACTATCTCACGGTACGCCCATGGTCGCCAGATTTTTCAGCCCAAGACGACTTCATCAACAAGACCTTAGTGTGGGTGCGCTTCCCAAACTTGAATATGATGTTCTACGATGAGAGCGTATTATTAACTATAGCCTCCGTTATTGGGAAACCGTTAAAGGTGGTCCTGCACACTGCCAACATGTTGCGCGGCAGATTTGCACGCGTTTGCGTGGAGGTTGATTTGAATACCCCTGTTGTGGGTAAGTTTAATTTGAATGGAAAGTGGTATAACATCGAATACGAAGGCCTACATTTACTATGTTCTAATTGCGGCTGTTATGGTCATGTTAATCGGAACTGCTCATTGAAGACGATGGAGGAACAAGGGCCAACTCCAACAGGCGAGGCTACTGCTCCAGGGAATGATTCTGTTTCCAGAAATAATGCAAAATCTATCTCATGCAATATCTCTGCCACAAATCAAGATAAGTCTGTTATCTCCGCTCACGGTGATTGGCTCGTTATTAGGAGGAAAAAGAAATCAAATATTCAGAAATCCTCCAAAGATTTTGTTCAAAATAACTCAAATTCGAACAAAGGCTTCACTTTCCAATCTAGAGCGGGTTTGAGCACCGCTAATAACCCTAAAGCTACACCCATGCATGCAATCCCCAAACCCACCTCGTCACGTGGGATTAAACAAACCTCGTCACGTGGGTTCATTAAAAAGATTGACCCCACCACCTTAATGGGGTCCACTCGTCAAACTTCCACACAACAAGGGAGTCAAGAAAAAAAGCGTCCTCGTATGGATTCAAGTCCACTTTCTACTAGGCCTACTTTACCTAAACAAATGACGTCAACTGCTGGGCTCCCTCTACTCACTCAAATGACGTCGACTTTCTCCTCTACTCAAGTCATGCATGATGATGAGGTCCAGGTCATGTCAGATGGGGGGAAAACAGTGCATGCTTTAACACATGTTGAAGGTAATCGGTATTCAATGAAGTTGGATGATGTTGACACTACAGATGAGTGCAAAGGTATCCCTGATTCTAGCTGTATTGAGGTCCATGGGCCAGATATTATGGTGGTCTAATCTGGGTTTCCCACTTATTCCCTTCTATGCCATAATGAATACTTTAGCTAATTTAAATATTTTGGCTTGGAACATTCGTGGTGCTGTCAACGCTAAAGGTAGACGACTCACAAAGGAGCTTCTTCATGGGTTTCAACCTGACATTGTCATCCTAGTTGAAACACATTGTAATTTTTCTGCTGCTAAAACATTCTGGACTGGCATGGGGTACGAGTTATGTGGGGTATCTGAAGCCCAGGGGCATGCTGGCGGCATCTGGATTCTTTACTAAGTGTCTTCGTACCTTTCAAATTAAACCCTTGGAATGCTTTCATCAGGCAGTCTTTGTTACAATTCACAAAGGTCTGCCATCCTTTGTTTGCACTGCGATATATGCGAGTCTTGTACCCCACAATAGGGAAGCCCTCTGGTCATATCTACGTGAGATTCGCATTCGTATTTCCACACCATGGCTCTTGATTGGTGACTATAATGAAGTCCTATCACCCAATGAGGTTCGTGGCGGCTCCTTTTCATTAAGACGTGTTGATCGCCTTCTTGATACGATGGAAGCTTGTCATTTATTAGACATGGGTTCTTCGGGATATAAATATACTTGGTATAGAGGCCACACTCACACTCGAACTGCCAAGAAGCTTGACAGGGGCCTTTGTGACGATTCTTGGCGTCTCCTCTTTCCGGAAGCTTATGTTGAAAACCTTCATCGTGCTTACTCCGATCACTCACCCTTATTGTTGCGTTGTGGGGGCCTTCCAGAAACCAAAGGGGATCGCCCTTTTCGATTTCAAGCAGCATGGACTACACATAAATACTATTCTAATGTTGTCTCTACTGCATGTTCCAAAGGTTCACATAGGGTTGCCGAAAGTTTGAAGAATGTAATGGATGATTCTATCCGTTTCAATAAACAAGTGTTCGGTAACATCAAACAAAGGAAGCATCGTATTCAGAAACGTCTTCAAGGCATTCAACGTAGCCTGGAGTTGCATACTACGGAGGCTTCCATCAGACTAGAAAGAGATCTCCAACAACAATACGACGATGTTCTTGTCCAAGAAAAGTTTTTCTGGTTCCAAAAATCCCGTGAAAAATGGGTCAAATTTGGTGATAGGAATACAAAATTCTTTCACGCGCAAACCTTGATCCGTCGGAATCGGAACAAGATACACGGCTTATTCCTTGAGGATGGATCATGGAGCACTGACCCCACTGTTCTTCGAAGGGAAACGCAACGCTTTTACATGTCTCTCTTTTCAGCTGATGTTCAACAACAACCTTCCTCATTATTGCTAGACCAGTTTCCCCAGCTCGATAGTCTAGCTATTCCAACTTTATTGGCACATGTCTCCTTGGATGAAGTGCGCAAAGCAGTAATGGCCATGAAATCATTTAAGGCCCCTGGACCTGATGGTTTTCAACCATTTTTTTTCAAACATTTCTGGCACATTGTGGGCACTGATTTGTGGCGAATGGTGAATGAGGCATTTCAGCATGGCAAGGGGGACTCTAAACTACTCGACACTCTCATCACGTTGATTCCTAAAACCAGCAATCCTACATGTTGGATGGAATTACATCCTATTAGTTTATGCAATGTTAGCTACAAAATTATCAGCAAGGTCTTGGTTAACCGCCTCCGTCCCTTACTTCAGGACCTCATCAGCCCCTTACAAGGCAGCTTCCTCCCTGGACGGGGCACTCGCGATAACTCTATCATTGCCCAAGAGGTTCTCCATCATATTAACCGCCATAGGGGGAAGAAGGGCTTATTAGCCATTAAGATAGACTTGGAGAAAGCCTATGATCGTCTTAGTTGGGATTTCCTACAACAAACACTTTTAGAGTTTGGGTTTCCTGGCAGGATTGTAAGCCTTATTATGTGGGGGGTTCGCGAGACCTCTCTATCTATACTATGGAATGGTTCAAAACTGGACCCTTTCACTCCCTCTCGAGGCTTGCGCCAAGGTGATCCCCTGGCTCCTTATTTGTTCCTTCTTTGTATGGAGAAGTTGGGCCTGCTTATTCATCAACAAATTCGGGACGATAATTGGATTCCAGTCACAATCTCAAAAGGAGGTCCCTCTCTTTCCCAACTTTTTTTTGCTGATGATATTCTTCTATTTTGTCAAGCTTCTAGGAAACAATTGCAAGTGATCTATTCTACTCTTGATGCCTTTTGTGCCGCTTCTGGGCTAAAAGTTACCCTGGAAAAGTCTAGGTTTGTGTGTTCAAAAGGTGTAAATGGACCTCTTAAGTCCATAGTAGACTAGCCTCTTGGAAGAATAAGCTTCTCAACAAAGCTGGTCGCCTCTGCTTAACACGATCTGTTCTTGCTTCCATACCTGCATACATGATGCAACTCTATTGGCTTCCTCAATCCGTTTGTACAACCATTGATCACCTTTGTAGATCGATGTTGTGGTCACAAGGCACACGGACGCGGCAGTGGAACTTGGTGAGTTGGAAGGACGTGATTAAACCCAAAGACTATGGTGGTCTTGCCATGCGTGATACCCGCTCTGCTAACACTTCTCTGCTAGGAAAGCTTATTTGGGACCTCATGCATCATCCTGACAAACCTTGGGTATCTCTTTTGACCCATAAATATCTTCATTCCTCCCCATTGTTGAATTATGTCGTGCCTCCAGGGGCTTCCCAGGTATGGCGAAGCATTCATAAAGCTTTGAGTGTACTTCGTTCAGGCTATGGACCATGTCTAGGAGATGGAAATTCCAGTTTCTTGTACAATAATTGGACGGGCACAGGGTCACTTTGTCATGTAGTACCTTATGTTGACATTCACGATTCACATCTAAAAGTTTCAGACTTATGGTTGGACAACACGTGGAATCTATCTATGCTCTACACCTCTTTACCGGCACCTTTATGCGCCCAACTAACTACTATTTCTATTCCTGCTCATCCAGTAGGGGCGGACACCATTTCATGGTATGGTAGTAATAATGGTATCTATACTGCAGCTTCAGGCTACAGGTGGTGCTTGGTCCTTTAGAGGGGTTTAGTCATATGTGGAAGAGGATTTGGAAGCTCCCCGTACCAGAGAAAATACGTTTCTTCCTGTGGCAGGGAGCTAAGGAAGCGTTACCCACCAACAGTAAACGAATGGCTTGTCATTTAGCCACTAGCTCTATTTGTACACGATGTACTGTAGGGGAAGAATTCATACTTCATGCACTCCGTGATTGCATCCACGCTAAGGTTGTTTGGACTCGTATTGGCATCGACACTCCAATGTTGATGTCCTTTACGCATATAGTACCTTGGATGCAACATATCCTTCAACATAAGGACAAATTACTAATCATTTCAACCCTATGGTGTTTATGGAGATGGCGAAACAACACAGTGTTAGCACATGAAACTTGGCCTCTTCAGTATGTCCTTCACCTAGTTCATCAAACCAGCATGGAGTTACGACTATATTGCGAAAAGAATCCACCTCTGTCTACACTTACTTGGAGTCCTCCAACTGTAGATGTTGTCAAAGTTAACGTGGATGGTTCATGTATCCCGCCCCATTCAATGGGTGGAGGAGGATTTATTCGTGATACCCATGGGGAGTGGTTGTGAGGCTTCTCCAAGGCTTTTGGTCAAGGTAATGCATACATGGCTGAACTTTTGGCCATTAAGCATGGTATTGAATTAGCTTGGAGCCTGGGTTACCGCAAAGTGGTGTGTGAATCTGACTGCCTAGAAGCTGTGGAAGCAATCACTCATTTTACTTTGGCCTCCATGGCTTCCCCCTCTGTGCGAGATCTCTTGATAGATATTCGTCTTCTTCTTTCCAGAACGTGGCAAACTCAGCTTTTATGTATTCCCCGTGAAGCTAACACTGTTGCAGACCGCTTGGCAACTTTTGGAAGTCACAATGTGACACGTGAATTTATTGTGCCACCGCCGTCAGTTATGGAGGCTTTCTTGCATGATTTATTAGCCCTAGGCTAGCTGTCATTCTTTATGTTTTGAGTTCTTTCGTTCTTTTGTAATTCCTTATTCTACAAAAAAAAAAAAAAAGATAATTTTTCTTATATCATATAGAAAGATACTCATTTATTGTAAATTTTAACTATAATATAATTTATATATTTAAAATATTTATTTATTATCAATATCAACTACATAAAACTAAACATTTATTATGTATCAGAATAAAAAAAGATCATCATAATCTAAACATTTATCGTGTTTAGTATGTTATTTGAAAAATTATTTATTTTTAAAGTTATTAACTCTACTAATTTTTAAAAATGAAAATATCTACAAATTTCTTTTGCTTTCTACTTCCACTCTTCTATCACTCTTTTTTTTTCCTTTATGTGTTATCTTTCTGTATTAGTTGATGATTTTTATCACTATTTCACAATCAAACAATATAGTACGGAATTATACACCATATGAAATGAAGATTAATTGGATAAGCTTCTTATGTTTAGTGTTGGTGTATTATGATAATAAAGTTATCTTTACCTTCGATGATGGGGAGGCTTATAAGAGTTGGTAACCATGAATGTGACATGAGGAAAGTTTGTCAGTGTGTGTGGATATTGACATGAGATCGTAATAAATGGTGATATAGGTTTGGTTCCGTAATCATTGGTTCAACATCGAGTATGAAGGCCTTCATCTAATTTGAAAATATTGTGGTTTCTATGAACATATTGCCAAAAACCCAAAAAGAAAAAGGAATTCGTAGTTTTTTCGAAAAGCTCCACTAGCAATACTGAGAGAGCATTGGATGCAAAGAAGGAAAAAACAACATGCAATCCCTACATCCATGCACGTCAATCATTTGAATCAGAGACATAATGACATGTATAACGATCATCAGAGGTAACAAAAGAAAGAGATTAAAAAAAATGCTCAAAACAAGACAATAGCATGAATTTTGGACTGAATGGAGGTAGGGAGACATACCACATTAAAAATATGGCGATAAATTAGACATTTAATGCTAGTAGTACGGAAGGTTTTCCTTTTCGTGTACAATAATTGTATTGAGGTTTAAATTTTTGAAGTCATGTAGACTGTCTAACCGCTAAACCAACTATAATAGGTTAAATTAGGTAAGATTTGATATATAAAAAAACAAAATTGTAATGAACAAAACAAAATAACTAAGGCTACATCACCAAGGGCGCAAAACTTGATTATAAAATATGTAATTTCTTTAATTTTTGCATCAAAAGTGGTCCGATTTAGAACTTATAATGGTGACACATGTAAGAGGACACAAAGATTACGTCAACTTATTTACAATCTAGGAAAATAATTTGTACCAACATAATCACGAACTGGATTCGTAATGAGCCAAGTTGACCCATGTTGAGATTTTCGTTAAAACTATTTTTATTAACACTTTAAATCACTTTTGTTCTATCAACGGTCTCAAACACGACAAGTATACCGGCCGTTCAAGTAGTAAAATTATCGTATCCATAGGTTTTGATTACTTATTATCCTTGTTGATTTCTACTTGAATTGTTCTTGAATTGGATGAGTAAATTTTGTTGATTGGAGTTGAGTTTAAGTTTTGTGGTTTACTCTTATGAGAGGTAAATTGAGGATAGCTAGTGATAGATGGTTGCATGTTGAATCTAAAGTTAAATATGAGTTGCTTATGATCTATAGTAGTAATATTTGGTATTGCATGTTGTAATTTTTTTAAGATTTATGTGGATTGACCTAAAACGTTAATTTGTTAAGTGCACAATTCATCATCATGCTGAACACAACTTCATAACATTGAGTGTGATGAAGGATAAAGGCTCTCTGCCTCATTGATGTCGAACACAAGATTGGTACAACTAGTTTTAGTAGTTGTTTGACTGGCAACCTAGGTTTATGATTTTAGTTTTGGATTATTGTAGATGTGTGTGTGTAGAAGATTGTGATGTAGTTCCATTAAGGAACATTTATGTATTCAGTAGGCTATCTCCTCAACATATATGTTATTACATGTATATCTACGAACTATTTGCATGGTAAACCTTATGTAATTATATTTATATTTTTTTGTTGCGTTAGTTGTTGGGCTAAAAAGTGCATGAACCTATTAGATCATTACATTAAAGTCAACCAATTTGGTTCATTTGGGTTGGGTTACCATGGGTTGGTACTTTAAACATGTCAGTCAATTCCAGCTCACTTTCTAATGAGTCAAGAAAATTCTAACTTGACTCAACCCACCATAGGATGGTGGTTAGGTGGGTTGATTCGCCAAATTCTTTTAAATAAAAACAAGAAAAATAATTATGTGTTTCTATTTTTAATAAATAAAATAAAAAAGTTACATTTGTTCTATCAACAAATCAAGTCAATCAATGATTCAAATGCATAAAAAGAAAAAATCAATAAAAAATTTAAATAAATATGTAATTTTTTTAACTGTATTAGGTTAAATGGGTCAACCTAGCTCACTTTGGGTCAAAATCACTTGACTCGTAGTTTAAGTGAGTTTGGGTGGAATTTAGCAAACAATTGGTACACATTTTTATTTTCTGACTCAACCTAAACTGGATTCGTAATGAGCCAAGTTGACCCATGTTGAGATTTTCGTTAAAACTATTTTTATTAACACTTTAAATCACTTTTGTTCTATCAACGGTCTCAAACACGACAAGTATACCGGCCGTTCAAGTAGTAAAATTATCGTATCCATAGGGATTAGTAGGTAAAATAAGCATTTATTGACTATTCGTGACTAAAGAATAATTCCAAATTCATAGTTTGTCATGCAAGTTGAATTAAAGGTTATGACTATTGGAATGTAAGCTATAAAAATATTTGATTGTGAGTGGAAAAAGGTAGAAATGGTATTATGATTTTTGTGAGATTGTGGGGTCAGATTTCACCAAACGTCAGACTAATGTATCCTTAATCTCTTGTTACATACATTGCTTAGTCAACCCATAAGTTTACTCAAACCTAATCCCTTAGAGCAAGAGCCTAGGTGCGGATATTGAATATTAATTCCTTGAGTACCCAATATCTACACCTGCATTACGAGTTAGGGTTTAAGACTACTAATGGGCCAAGCTCCATTCCTAGATACATTTCCCACTAGGCATTTGTTTCAGGGCTAGTTTCAAAGGTTATTTTCCAATACCCAATGGAACCTATATCATGCAAGGAGAATCAATCAAAAGCAAGCATTAAGAATAGAAACATACACAACAATGAATGAAACAACATATATATATCATAAAAGCGTAAGGATTACAATAGAATTTGTTGGTTACATCTAACCCCACAAACAATGGGTAGAACCACTCAAAACAATGAGGGTAAACACAAAATAGAGATGAAGAGAGAATGAAGAACCGAAGGAAAGACCCACACACGAACGGCTCCAAGCTCTGGGAATCCCTTTCACAGCTCCTAAAACGCGCCCAATGTGTGAATGAGGAAGAAGCCCTCGAAAATGTCTTCAAATACGAGCTTGGGGAGTCAGATTAGGGTTACGCGCCCGACGCATAAGTCTTTGCGCTCGGCGTAGGGCCTTCCAGAGAAGTTGAGCACTATCTGCCTCAAGACACGCTCGGCGCAATTTCCTTTTAGGCCCGGCGCAATGTCTTCTAGAGAGTTTGAGTTACTCTCTGTCGCGATCACGCCCGGCACGGGTAGTCTCGCACCCGGTGCACATATGGCTTGCAAAGATGAGGCACTCTGTTCTTATCAAGCCCAGCGCGGGTCATCTTGCGCTCGGCGCAGTCACTCTTCTCTGCTCCTTAGCTCCTTAGGTTTCCAATCCTAAGGTCTTCAATCCTCAATTCTCTAGCTCAATACCTGCACAAAAAATGAGGTGTATTAGGGTATTGTTAGCTAAATTATGGGTAAGCTATATATGCACACAAAATGGATCAAAAAGAGAACAATTATATTGCAGTAGTTCAAAGAATGAGTGGAATTGCTCATTAAGTCTTGTCCAAAAAGAAGTATAATTGAGACTTAACAACCCACTAGGTTGGAGCTTATTTTAACACCTCAGCCGTTTGTGTCACATTTATGAATCCCAACTTTTCAAAGAATTACCCTCATAATCTTAGGGTGATTGCCATTTTGTTTTGATACCAAATCTATACATTAACTTATAAATCTGTTGGTATTAAATGTCTTGTTTCAGTAAACCATCAATAACCAGGTTCAACCTAGACTGATTCCTTAAGTTGTATTGTATAACATGTAGACATTGATGAAACTTGTAACCAAAATAAAAAAATATATCGATTGACTAAGATATTTGCGGTTTATTTTTAGGATAATTCAATTATAAGTGACAAATTTATGATTTTTTATTATTAATTTTATTAAGATTTAAAAAAAATTATTTGCACCAAAGGTTTTGTTATAAGTAAAACTAGTACGAGTAACTATTTTCAAGGCAAAGAAATTAATAAGTTAGTTTTGTTTTTATTTTTAAAGTTTTCTTTATACATATGACTAAATTAAGGATATGTGGTCAGAAAATGATAAAATATGATAAATAAATAAAAAAGATAAACTTAAACCTTATCTAAAGTTTGATGCACATCATAATAACAAACCGTAAAACATTATTATATATATTTTATATTTAATATATACAGATAAGATATTATATAAATTATATTTAAGTAACAAAATTTATCATTTATTAAAATTACATATAATTTTTACAAAAAAATTAGTACTAATTTAATTTTTAAAATTTTAAGCTAAAAATATAACTTGAATCATATAATATGAATTTATTTATTTATTTACGTTAGTTACTTTCTTAAAATAATATAATATCTTTAAAA